TCACGCAGAATCGGACTTTGGTGTTTGCTTTCGTAATTAAATCATTACAAAGACGTATTTAAACAAGTCCATTGATTAAGTTCATTGACCAATTAGATTTGAATCGTCTAAAGAAAGTGTGTAAGAGAAATAGTGTTGTTGGCCAAAGAATCGAACTTTTTTCCCCCGATATATCCAGTCCAGAGGTTTGCAATTTACAATTGTTCTATATTTAGATTTGATTCCGGGATGAATGTTAAGACAAAGGTTAAAAAGTTTTGAGGTTCAGCTCGGTGGCTATGTAATCAGAACCTTTAGCAATTTGCGTCTCATTGGTAGAAGGCCAGAAAATATGGGATTAATATTTACTAAAACGTTCATATCGATGGAAATAAATGATTAATTGTTAGTTTCATGTTCTAACAATCCACCTCACCTGCAAAATTCAAAGCTTGTTCCAGTGGGAAGAGAAAATTGCTTTTTTTGCTCATATAAGAAATCATGGCTTGAAATCTTGTATTCATTGAACTAAAAATCGTAACGAATATGACCTTTTGTATTATATTTAATTGAAATATCTGGATGGGGAAGAATTTAACGCAAGCATTCAGATTTCCAGTTTTGCCACATATCACATCCAATTTATTGCAGCAATAATCGCAAAAATCATTATCAGCTATGATTTTCTGAGGACTTATATTAAATAGAATCGACACATTGTCGTTTGCGGCCTTTAGCGCCCATTGCTTGTACAAAAATATAAATACAATATGATTTTTAAGGTCTTGATTTTCGGCTAACTGGAAAATGTCATAAATCAGAAAATTCTTGAATGCAATACCATGACTTTTTTCTTGATATGAATTTCTCTACTGCATATGGTTAAATAGAAAATTAAATTCGTTTTAGCAGAACTGATAGATACAACATTTGAGTCCTATTGAACACTCGACTTATATTGTAAATCGAAATCAGTTAAAAATTTGAAACCTCTTGGAATTTCCGAAAACAAATGACTTGTCATGGACTCGCATACGGGACCACAGATAATTTAATGGTCAGCGTTCTAGTTGTCTTTGTGATGGGACAGACAAAAATAAAAAGAGGAATATGATTGAAAGTAAATACTAGATAGATAGATAGATAGATAGATAGATAGATATGAACATACTGAGATAGATAGATAGATAGATAGATAGATAGATAGATAGATAGATAGATATATGAACAGACTGAGATAGATAGATAGATAGATAGATAGATAGATAGATAGATAGATAGATAGATAGATATGAACAGACTGAGATAGATTGATTAGAACAGACTAGGAGAGATAGATAGTTATGAACATACTAGGATAGATAGATACGGTTAAGGGGTCCACCCTTTTTTTATACAAGTGGACTCTCCCAGTGTGTACTTGTACTGCTGCCGGTGAATACCCAGAGAGCGAGAGAGTGAGAGAGTGTGAGGTAACCACTTTGTAGGAGTCACAGTTGCGAGCACGTAGACTCAGAACGAAGACCTACTTCAATACTGAATCTCCCAGACCGTATATATATTATTATTATTGCTACTAACCGCATTTCTGGATCTACTAACCGTATTACCAATTGTATTATTACGTCAATACATTCATTTGCTATATTTCATTCCTTCGTTTGTCATTCATTTGAGACCGGATTTCATCCCGGAATCCACAACAAATTGGCGACGAACGATTCGAACTCACACAGGAAGAACAAACAACAAAATTTTTTTCCCTCGTCGGCCACAACAAATTGGCGACAAAGAGTTACGAGGATTAAAAATACGTAAAATTGAGTTATAGAAGATTTTAAAAATATTTTGGTAGAACTGGTAAAATACCAAAATCATCAACAATTATAACTACAAGAATGAATGGAAGAAAAATGGCAAAAGCAATTACTACAAACGCAGAAGGAAAATCAAGAAAGACAAATAGAGCTCCAGGAACTTATATTGAAAGTTGCAAAGGTTGTGCTGCTGCGGCGAAAGCACCAGCATCTATACAAAAGCCTTGGTCTAAAGTCGACAGTCCATGGTCCAGAATCCACGTGGATTACGCAGTACCCATTGAGGATTACTACTATTTAATAACAGTAGATAGTTTCAGTAAATGGTCAGAGGTTGCCAGATTTAAACGCCCGACGACAGAAAATACCATAAACTGTTTACACGAACTATTCGCGAGATTTGGCGTTGCGGATTGTTTGGTAAGCGATAACGGCACACAGTTTACCTCCAGTGACTCCAAAGAATTTTGTGAGACATATCAAGTAAAGCATATCAAGATAGCTCCGTGCCATCCGAGGTCGAACGGACAAGCTGAAAGATTCGTTGACATACTAAAAAGAGCGTTAAAAAAAGCCGAAGATGTATCGACGATAAAAGCGATACAACAGTTCCTCCAAGTGTACAGAATAACACCTAACGTGACACGCCATCGGGTCTTTCACCAGCGGAATTGATGTTTGCTAGGAGAATAAGGTCTGTGTTTGACAAATTATTGCCAAACAAGAACAAAAACCAGTATACTCTTATTGTACCCAAGAGATCATTTAAACCAGGAGAAAGGGTTTACTTTAGGATGTTTAGAAACAATATGGCTTACTGGGAACCTGGCACAATAAGTAACAGATTAGGAAATGTGATGTACAGAGTACAAGGTAAGAAGTTCTCACATAGAAGACATATTGACCAATTACAAAAAAGACGGGTTAAGGAGTCAAGCTCGTCACCCGCAGAAAACGACGATTCATTGGATGCAATCTTCGAAGCTTTTGAGATCCAAAGACCACAGGAAGACACAGAAATGAGAAGGTCAAACAGGAAGAGAAAATTTACCGAAACTCTGATTATCGACCATAAGAGAAAAAAATACTAACTCCCCCCCAAAAGGGATCAAAGGAGGGGGTGTTAAGGGGTCCACCCCTTTTTCATACAAGTGGACCCGGCCCGTGTGTACTTGTACTGCTGCCGGTGAATACCCAGAGAGTGAAAGAGTGTGAGATAACCGCCTTGTAGGAGTCACAGTTGCGAGCACGTAGACTTAGAAGGAAGTCATACTTCGATACTGAATTTCCCAGATTGTATATATTATATTATTGCTACTAACCGCATTTCTGGATCTACTAACCGTATTACCAATTGTATTATTACGTCAATACATGTATTTGCTATATTTCATTCCTGCGTTTGTCATTCATTTGAGACCGAATTTCATCCCGGAATCCACAACAGATACATATGAACAGACTGAGATAGATAGATAGATAGATAGATAGATAGATAGATAGATAGATAGATAGATAAAGCAGGACTGACGTATTGCTGACATACATGGGCTGGAGTTTTTCCATCTTCCGGACTTGACATAGCTCAAAATCGTTTACGCGGCCTTGTGGTCGATGACTCATTTTCCAATTGACAGCCCCTCCACCACAGCTGCAACATTGCAAGCCCATTCGTCATCCTATGTCTACTTCCTTGGCATAGGTTCAGACGAAATACATTTGTTAGTGCCACCATTTCAGACCATTTCAGCCCAAGAGCATAATTCCCTATAATTTTCCTTTACTAAGCAGAATGTTCCACTAAGAAATTACCTTTTGGAACAGATTCTCTTATGGGTACTTCCTCGAACACTACAGTCTCGACCTCTTCAAATCTAGGACAAATCCTTATCTACCATTCATATCTTCATAATCTTCACTTTATACTTTCACCTCTAATGCTCTTGTTAAACACCTAGTCTCTAAATATCTTCACTGAATGTAACTTGAGTCTGTACTAGGTAAAGTTTAACGAAAAAATAATAGATGCGTTGATAGTCACACAAACTAGGAATTGTAGATTTTTCAAGTACTGGCATTCGTTTCTAAATAAGCACGATGTGCAACTATTTGTTGAAGTATATTTGGCAGTATTAAAAATTTGCTTACATACGAAATCCTAATTTTCGCTTCGGCCCGGACACCAACTACGGCCACCGAGAAGTAAAATGCAATTATCTTTACTGCGAAACAGGCTAATTTATAGACAGATATTAAATTGACGACCACATTTTCTTCGACTATTCAGTAAGCGGTGAAAATGTTATGAAAGTAGAACACTTATTGCCACAAGAGAAAAGAGAATTACATTTCTTCAGAACGAAGCTAAGTAAGACATAAGAACACTTTTTAAAGCACCTAGGAAGGACAAATTCACTGTCAATAAATTCATGAGTACATTGAAGACCAGTGAACATATATAACAATGCATTCTTAGTTTTATAGATTTTACAAATACCTGAATTAGTGTTAAAAATATTATGCATCATAAATATATTCGGTTGATGCAATACAATCACATTTGAACTTTCATAATAATAATTTAAGCTTATTAAATTTAAGTCTGTCTATCTATCTATCTACACACACACACATCTCTCTCTCTCTCTCTCTCTATATATATATATATATATATATATATATATATATATATATGGTAATTGTTCCAACACGTGAAAAATGTAGATTTTTTAAAAAAAAAAGGCACTGCAAACTTTTTTTGGTTATAATGTGGATTGGTTTTAGTGTATATTTTACTCTTCCTATTTTTACTACACGGGTTTCAGGTCTCGCAACCATCTTCAGGCAAATTAAAGGAATCAGTTTTGAAAGGAATAATATTTCCTCGTGTTCTTTTACTATTTCATTGTTCATTTTCTGAAACATTAAAAGAACAAGGAAATTATATTTTTAATATAGTTTTGAATTTGTAGGTCTGATGAATTGAAGAATGATTACGATTCCAATGTAATAAATTATAACCATGAATATTAGAGTTTGAGCCTTTACATATATATATATATATATATATATATATATATATATATATATATATATATATATATATGTTGAACATTGAGGTCAAAACACAACGATGGCAGTCCATTTCATGCTTAAAAGAAATATTCAGGCCATGAAGATTGTGTTTTCTGTATGAAACAGATT